TGGTTGATATTTTGAGTATTTTATAAAACTGCGTAAGAGAATAAAGATTGCTTACTTGAACTCTGCAAAAGAGGTAAAAGGAAGAAAAGTGAAATATTGAAAAGTTGAAAGGTATTGATTTTGGCATCACAGAAAAATATGTGTACCCCTCACTCAAGTGTTCATACGCTCATTCTCTTTCTCTTGCTTTCTAATTTATATCTCATCAATTTCTAAAAGAGGATTGATGGAAACTTTTTGGTTGACTCCCAGGAAAGTCAATAGGTATTAAAATTATTTTAACATTTTTAGCTAAATAGATTGTTTGCCTTGAGATTGATGAAGAACTAGCAATATTGATAAATGAAAAAATGTTATGTGCTTCTTTATATGAATGGAAACATTTCATATATATTTTCTACAGCTTGTTCTTCTGTTTAATATTATAATATTCACGTTGTGTAATGCAGCTGTAGTTCTTTAATTTTGTACTGTTATTTGTGAAATTCCATGTATATATCACAGTTTGTTTATCCTTTTGAGTTGAGGCCTGGTGCATGAAATTCGTGCATGGGTAGGGTCCCTCGGCCTGGCCAGAGATCAGGGCTAATCTGTAAGGCAACTGGTGGGGCAATCAGGGGACCCCTGCTGGCACCCACATTGGCTGGTCTGGGGCCAGTGGGTTAGGGGCAGCTCCTGCATTGAGCGTCTGCCCCCTGTTGGTCAGTGCACATCATAATGACCAGTTGTCCCACTGGTCATTCTGCCGTTTGTTCAATTTGCATATTAGGTTTTTATCATATAGAACTAGGTGCATGAAATTTGTGCATGGAGGGTGGAGGTGGGTGACCCCCAGCCCAGCCTGCACCCTCTCCAATCTGGTACCCCTCAGGGGATGTTGACTGCTGGTTTAGGCCCGATCCTTCAAGGATCGGGCCTAAACTGGCAGCCAGGCATCCCTCTCATAATCCAGGACTACTGGCTCCTAAGCACTTGCCTGCCTGGTTGCCTGATTGCCCCTAATCACTCTGCCTGCTAGCCTGATAGGCCCCTAACTGCTCCTCTGCCAGCATGATTGACACCTAACTGCTCCCCTGCTGGCCCTATTGCCCCCAACTGCCCTCTCCTGCTGGCCTGATCGCCCACAACTTCCCTCCCCTGCTGGCCTGGTCGCCCCCAACTGCCCTCCTCTGCTAGCCATCTTGTGACAATGTGGGGGTGGCCATCTTCTGATGATGTGGGATGGCCATCTTGTGACGACATGAGGGTGGCCATCTTGTGATGACTTGGAGGCAGCCATCTTGTGACATAAGGGTGGGAGGGTCAATTTGCATATTACCTCTTTATTACATATGATAGGTTTATTACTTAGGATTGTTGACAAGCATTTGGGTTGTTTCCTGATTTTTGCTGTAAGAAACAAATACTGGTATGAACATTCTGATGCACATATGCAAGTGTTTCTATAAGAGACATATTCTTGGGGGTATAATTGCTGGGTTTATAGGTTAAATGTATCAGTTTTATTAGATAATGTCATAGTGTTTATCCAGAGTGAATGTTGTACCAATTTATACTTCCAATAGCCATGTAAAAGTTTTCATTTACTCCATAACCATACTTTATATTTGTTATTGTCACTTTTTAACTCTTGCCTATCTGATAGCTCAATGTACTTTGAATTTGTATATTCTGAAGTACTAATGAGATTAAACATAATTCATGTTTCCACTTCTATTGTTTTCCAGTTCCTTTGCCCATTTTCCATTGAGTTATATATCTTTTTATTATTGATTTGGACAAGTGGTTTTTAAAAAAATATATATATTTTGGATACTAATCATTTGACAGTAGTTTGGGATGCAAATTTTTTCTTTCAGTTTATGATTTATCTTTTCATATTTAAAATTGATTTGTTTTATAAACATAAGGATTAAATTTTAATGCAGTTAAATACATCATCTTTTCTTAAGTAGCTTAAACTTATTGTGTCTTAGTTAAGAAACGCTTTCTACCCTAAGGTGATAGTCTCTTATTTCTTCTTCAAAAGTGTTTCTTTTTTAAAAACACATTGTTTTCTTAATATATACAGTACGATTTAGGAATATAATTTTTTTCCATATGGTTAACCAGCTAGAATCCATATACTCTCCACCAAATTGGGGTGCTACCTCTGTCATATCAATTTTGTGACTAATATAATAAAAAAGCCACTCTCCATTCTTTGATCAGATTCAACATGTGGTTATGATTAAATGTGCTTTTATTAAAAAACAAAGTGTGGTTAAGGCAGATTAATCTAGACTTGGTAAGCAGGAAGCAGAAAGGGTGTAAAAGAGAACTCTGGGCCTGGCTGGTGTTGCTCAGTGGTGGAGCGTTGACCTATGACTAGGAGGTCACAGTTCCATTCCAGGTCAGGGCATGTGCCCTAGTTGCAGGCTGGTCCCCAGGAGGGAGTGTGCAGGAGGCAGTCTATCAGTGATTCTCTCTTCATTGATGTCTCTATCTCCCTTTCTTCCTCTCTGAAATCAATATATTAAAAAATAAATAAAAAGAGAACTTTGAAGCAGGGAGACCAGTTAGGAGTTTATCACAAGCTCAAGAAAATGAAGGCTGAATTATAAAAGTGACATGGAAATGGAAGGACAAAAATGTGAGAAAACTTGCAGAGGATGTATTTAGTGAAAAATTGACTATGGAAAGCAAAATAAGTTAAGTGACAAGCATAACTATAAGTTTTGAGTTTTAGTGACTTTTTTTTTTTAGGAAAAACAAAATTATTTCAATGTTAAATTTATTATAATTGATGTGGCCATAGGACACTGAAGTAGAGATTTAGGAAATATTTGTATATAGTTGATAAGTTAAATATATTGGAGGATGTTTTTAATAAACTTGGTGAGTTTCCCTATTCTTATTGTTTCATAGGAATTCTTTATATATTTTGGATACAAATCCTTCTTCCAGAAATATTTTTTTTTTAGAGTTTGTCTTTTTGTTTGTTTTTAATCTTTTTATGGTACCTTTTGAGAAACAGAAGTTCTAAATTATTATGTAGTGGAGTCTATCAATCATTTTCTTTGCACATTTAAAAATATATATTTTTATTGATTTCAGAAAGGAAGGGAGAAGGAAAGAGAGATAGAAAAATCAGTGATGAGAGAGAATCATTGATTGGCTGCCTTCTGCACGCCCCCTACTGGGGGTTGAGTCTGCAACCTGGGCATGTGTCCTGACAGGGAATGGAACTGTGACCTCCTGGTCGACACTCAACCACTGAACCACACTAGCCAGGCTGTTTGCATATTTTATCTAAGAAAATTTTCTGTGCAGCGAGGTAATGAAAATTGTTTCTTATAGTGCATTCTAATTATTTTATTTTTAATTAAATTGAAATTGATTGTTGTTTATGGTATCTGGTAAGGAAAAACATTGTCAAATTTTCTCTTTATGGTTACCAGTTGTCTCATCACCATCTCTTGAAAAGTCCATTTACCTCTTATAAATTTTTAAGACCATCTTGGTCATATGTCAAGTGATAAATGTATGAGTCCATTTCTAAGTTTCTTATTGTGTTTAATGTTTCTAATTGTCAATTCGTGTCAATACCACCTGATTTTAATTTCTGTAACTTTATGATAAATTTTGACATCTAGTTGAGCAAGTTCTCCCACCTTTTTTCTTCTAATTCCACAGTAGGGGTGTTGAACTCAATCAGAGAAGGGGCCAAAATCTAAAATCCAGCCTAAATCTCGGGCCGAATGGTTTACTGAACAGTCATAAACTGTCATTGTGATGGAAACGCAGCGGAGTGCAGTGATGACAGCACGGTGCGGGCCACATTGCAAGGCCTGGCGGGACGGATTTGGCCCGAGGGCCTTGTGTTTGACACATGTGTTCCACAGAATAGTGTCTTCACAATCTTGAATCTTGAACCCAATTTTGATTTTAGACTCAATATGTTAATTAATACCCACATAAACACACACTTACGGAATTTTTATTGCCACTGCAATGAATTTACATAACAATAAAGAACTGTAATCTTTATGACATTGACTCTTTTAGTTCATAATCATGATATAGTTCTTGATTATTAAGGTTTTCTTTAGTGTATTTCAGTACAGTTTTATATATTTGTCCATAATGTTTCTGCATAGTTTTTAAATTTATTTCTGAATATTGCACATATTTTTATTTCAGTTTTAAATATTCATTTTCCACATCTGTGTTATTGGTGTATTAAATGCAATATCTTTTTATATGTTGATTTCATACTCTGCAAATATACTAAATTATTTTCTTATTCTAGAAATTATCTGTAGATCCTTTTGTATTTTTTAACAAAGCATACAACTTGAAAATAATGATATTTTAATTTCTTCCTTTGTATTCTTTTCACTGTTTATTTCCTTTTAGTACTGCCAAGAGACTCCAGTACAAAGTTGAAAAAAGTAGGCATTATGTTAATTGTTCTGACCTCAATTGGAATGCTTTTATTATTAGCTATGATGTTTTGTGGATACTCTATTAAGTAATTTTGTTAATTAAAAAAAAAAAATCAAAGCTAAATCATTGGCTCCAATCAAGGGAAAAGGAAAGAGAATGGGAAAGGAGAATCTATTGAGTTTTATTTTCATTTTTAAAATATATTTTTTTATTGATTTCAGAGAAAAGAGAGAGAGAGAGAGAGAGAGAGAGAGAGAGAGAGAGAGAGAGAAACATCGATGAGAGAGAATTGTTGATTGGCTGCCTCCTGCATGTACCACATAAGGGATAGAGCCTTCAACCCAGGCATGTGCCCTGACTGGGAATTGAAACCGTGACCTCTAGGTTCATAGGTCATGCTGGCTGGGCTAGTTTTTAATCCCAATTATTCTATTTGTAATTTATAAATGTTCTATGTACTTACTTCTTTCCTCCCTTTCTTCTTTCTTTCCTTCTTTCCTCTTTCCACCCTCCTCCTTCCAGCCTTCCTTTTCTCTTTCTCTCTCTCTAAACCAGTTTTGTCTTTTAAAATATTTCCTTACATTCAGGCCTTTAAACTAAAAAAAAGTACTTACTATATTTAATATTTATTATTTGTCTTCTAATTCCAATATCTGAAGCCTTTTGCATCAAACTTTGCTGTCTATTGTTTCAACTACTTCTCATTCTACTACTTGTTTCCTCATACATTTTGTGAGTTTCAACTACAAGTTCATATCTGTTAGAGTTTTATCTTGTTCAAAATTTTCAAGCCCTATATTGGCAATTTATGCCTCCAGTGACTATTTGCTTCTGCCAAACATTGGGAAAACTCATCAATGCAGAAACACTTTAAATTAAAATTTTTTTTTTGCCTGAAGTTTTTTGGATATACCCAGGTAATGTGAGATTGGGATACAAGTTCAGGGAGGGTCAGTTTGTGGATATCAATTTCAAAGGGTGATTTTATGTTTCCTTCTACCCAATGCCACATTTTATAATAAGCAATTTCCCTTGCTGTCCCCTGGATTTATTTTTAGTTCACATACACCTTGAGGGTTTAGGACTTTTGGGTGCCTGATTTATTAAAGCTTCTCCTATTAGATTCCCCATCTTGGTCAGGTGCCTCCAGGATTTATTTCCTGTTGGCTGTGAATACAGAAGCTCAAGTTCACCTTCATGGGTAAATGTTCTCAAAGTGAAAGCCAGATTCAAGGCTCAGCTTACCTCTCTGGATCCCTATGGCTTTTGAGGATACTTTCTTTCTTGCCAATACATTGATGTATTTAAAAATATTTTTTACTATTTTAATTATTTTTCAGTAAGAGTGTTGGCCACAGTGTATAGTGTGTCATATTATTGGAAAATGGATTTTTTTGTCATTGAAAATAATTTATTCCTATAATAAATTTAAGGTCAGCATGAAAAGGATGAAGAGGTCCTTCATGAATGATAAGACAGTATAAATATAAGATCATGGACTATATTACTCATTTATATACTGTTATACCTTTTTACTGTACACTCTGTTATGTGAGGTGTTGTGTTACATTATCAGAGATGTCAATAAGTATACTGAAAGCTTCTCAAATTTGAAAGGTAATTTGTAATTTATAGATATAAGTGATACATTCAATGAGGGTGGTACAAACTAAATATTCATACCCAATTGAGGAATTAAAGCAAATTGTAAAGAAGGTTCTATTTTATCTCAATCTATAGGGTAGACAGAGAGAGATGAGTAGAAGTTTATTCCAGGTAGAAAACAAAGAGCATAAACAATGGTGTAAAGGTAAAAACAAAACAAAAAAACACCTAAAAAACAAGGAATGGCTTTAGATACTGTATGTTTGATGGATTATAAGCTATTTTAAGGAAATAGTTAATGATAAGAATGGAAAGTCAGGCAAAGGCTTGAGTATGAAGAACCATAAGTTCTAGACTGAGCAATTTGAACTTAAATTAGTAGGGGGACTGAGAGTTACTAATATATTATAAACTTTTAGTTTGATACAGTTTAAAATGGGTCATTTATGGGAGGCTGAATATAGAATCAATATTTATTCACTTAAACTCTAGCAATTATAGACAGGGGTAAATGAAAATGGGAGGAAGCTTGGGAATGTGAAACAAGTAAAACACTATTTTACTCAGCGTTTTTGATATGAGTAATCTCCATTCTGATGATGGCTTGATGTTGTTTACATAATTACTTTCTTCCATTACTTAGAAAATTATTTATTTATTTTCTGAATAAGTTTGAAACCACATCTTGGTGTTTCCTTTCATGCGTAAGAATGAATCCTGAGTCATAATTCGAAGGACACATTATTTAGGAACTAATTTCTCCCCTTATTTTAAAGAGAAAGAACTAGACTGGTTTTTGCTCACATTGATTTGATCATTTTATCTATTTTTCAGTGGAATAGTGCATCTCTATACATTTCTTAGGCCACCTCATTTTGTTAATGAGACAAAGGATAATTAAATGTCAATAAGGATTTGTGGTATCAAAATTCAAGGTCCACTTTATAAATGCTAAGGATCAGAAAGTTATCCAAGGGACACTATAGGCATATTATGATGCAATTTTTATTTCTGAACTGAGATGAAAAATGGGAATGTGTGTCTTTCTTTACTCTAATACCAAAACCTCATTAGGCTTGGCCAGCATGTGGGGAAATGACACAGCTGAGGCTTTCTCAGGCAAAATACATTAACATTACAAATGAAATTTGGTCTGAATTTATCTCAAGGAGCATTTCTCTCAAAGGTATAGTAGGAATTACATTAGCAGTGCAGTTATTAAGCTTTGTTGAATAAATCTGTTTTAGAAAAGGAAAGTGACCTTTTGTATCTCTCAAGGGGTAATAGCATTACATATGTATTTAAAATAATACTAATTGGGACAGGACGTCAGATTTACAAAAATATGGGAGGAAATTGGATATTCAGTTAGAAAGTATAAAGTATCTTAAACAAAGCATTTCATAATATTAAATATCTGACTTTTATTACTTCCTAATCAAACAACTCTATCTTCTGTTATAGGATGTAGATGGAGAGTGAAGGTCAGAAAAATACTGTTGAAAATCCTCATTTTTGTACTTGAAATATGGGCACAATTTGTAACCTAAACTCCTCAGTAATTACTGTAACTGTTGTTTTTCTTCAATGAACAGACTTACATATTTTTCACATTTTGACATGAAATCTTGTGTTCCCTAAGAAGCAATGTCAAAAAATAAATACGTCCTAGTTTTTATGCTTCTTTGTGGTCATTTTCTATGGGAGTGATAACACAGTCAGATGTGCTAGCATTCAGATGCTTGAATTAACTTAAATTTTAATATCTAATGCTGGCTCAAATATTTTAAAAAGAGATAACAATGTAATATAGAACATTAGTTTACACAAAGAAAGACTATTAAATGCCAGATAATGAAATCAAAGGCGGTTGCACACTGCCAAATCTGTTGAAGATATTATGACATTTCAAAGCTAGGAAAATTGTATAACAGATTCATGGGCTTACAGGATTATTACTCAAGTGCCAAGCATCCATCTATCAAACGGACGACTTTCAAGAGAAGGTAATTTACTTACAGTGATGGGAAATTCAATTAAGGAAAAACTGTGACTATCAGCTTAATCAAATAGGAAATGCAAACAAAACCCTAATATTATACTGCCAATCTTACAGGTACCCAAGAGGTCAAGAACAGAAGCATGGATTATAAAAAGCAACACGTCGTCATGCTGCATGACCAAAATCAACTCAGAAGACTGAGTGGGAAAACATTGGAATTCAAATTTTCATTTTGATGATGTTATAAGTTCTATACCTTAATTGCATGAATAAAAAAACAGTATTTATGAAAATGAAAACAATTTAACATATATCTAATTTGGTTTCGTTTCTGAAAACATAATAGAAACAGAATGGTAATCATTAAGTTCCAAGATGGATTTATGATCTCTAAGTTACTTCACACTAATATAATATCTTTTTTTTTTTGAATGGGCCACTAAATTTGAGCTAGGATGAGCAATCTTTATTTCAGTGGGACACTTAACGAATTTTATTATATTCTTGTGGACAAAATGGAGAAATACAGCCTAGATTAGACTATTAGAGGTTGAATGACTGGGCTGATGCAGTCTGATGACAGGATTGATGGCATCTGAAGAGAGGTTTCTCATGACTCATGGATGACTGTTTCCTAGGCATTCTATGTAATGTAGTGTTTTGGTAACTTGTAAACAGGGACACTTTCTGATAAGATTTACAGTTATAAAAAAAGTATCATGGGTAAAAACACTTTAGATGATCAAATCAGTATCTCTAAAAATTTTGAGAGCAGAGTAATGGACTAAATCCAATAAGGGATAAATATAAAATCCTTAACCTGAGTATATAAGCTTGATCATATAAGCTAGTTCTCTGTTTCTAACAGTTTTGTTATACTTCTCAAAGACTTAGTTTCCCTATGTTTAAAATGGGAATAATAACACTAGCTAATTAATAGTTTGAGGTAAGGGCACAGCACAGTTTTGGCATATTAGTGAGTGTTCAAAAGGTGTTAGTTACTTCTTTTCCAGAAATCCTGGATCCAAATTCTGTTACTTATGGGGTACTTGACCTTGGGTAGGTCAAATTCTTATTTTTTCTTTTTTTTTTTTTTTAAATATATATTTTATTGATTTTGTACAGAGAGGAAAGGAGAGAGATAGTCAGAAACATCGATGAGAGAGAGTCATCGATCAGCTGCCTCTTGCACACCCCCTACTGGGGATATGCCAGCAACCAAGGTACATGCCCTTGACCGGAATCGAACCCCGGACCCTTCAGTCCCCAAGCCGACACTCTATCCATTGAGCCAAACTGGTCTCGGCAAATTCTTATTCTTTCTAAACCTCATTTTCCTCCTTTGAAAGTGGCGATAAAAATAGTACTTACCTCATAGGTGGTTGTCATGAAAATTAAATGAGATGATACATGTGGGGTCCTCTTTGAGGTACATTAGGAACATATTTAGTTACTAATGATTGTTCGTAATTGCAGTCACCATTAGTTCAACTTCCGGAAAGTCTACCTAGACATTCTATTGCAAAAATAGAACCAATAATTGTTCTAGAATAAGGGAAATTATATTTCTACTTTATTATAGACTAAATCTATGTTATCACTTTAGTTTAAATGTATACTTTTAAGAGGAACATTGAAAATTGAAGTGAACATAAAATTAAATCACATGAAAAGTGATGAAAGAAACTGGGATGCCTATTCTGGAAAAGAGGAGATTAGGATAGGAGGAAGCTAGCTGAAGGGTTGTCATTGGAGAGAAACAAGGTCCTCAGAATTAGATTGATGGCAATGAGACAGATATTTTGCTCCCCTGAAGAAACACATTCTTAACTGTGAGAGCTGTCCAAAGGTGTGAGGGCTGGGAAGGTAGTCATTACTCAGTCCCTGAAGGTTTTTTTTATTTTTTTTATTTTTTTTAAGTTTGTAAAGTCATTTGAGAGAGAGTTGCAGAGAGCATTCAGGGATTTGAGATGAGATTTGGCTCAGTGATCTTTAAAGGCCAGTCCTTTTCTGAGGTTCTGAGGTTCTGCAGCTGTTGACTTCTTTATGATGCTTAACATTTAACACCTTTTAAAACCCTTCTTCCAGTCACATAGCCTTTTCTTTCAAATTATTTGACAGAAGCATCTCACAATAAGTAAGAATTGCATACCCTTGACCTTTAAGAGCTAAAATTTATTTCCTTCACTGCTCTTATCCTGAGATATCTGGGTAAATGGATTTGCAGAATCTGTGCATGCCAGTCATACTTGCATTTCTTTTAAAATGGGAAAGTTGATAAAATGGTAAAGGAATTTTCAGGACATAGGATCTTTGATGGCTCAGCTTCAATAGCCAAAAATGCTCCTGTTTCAAGTAATGTAAACATTAGTGAGTAGACATGCAAATATTGAGTATATAAACAATATTGTTTCACAAACAAGCTTGTTATTGCATGCATTCTTTGAACAATGTGTCTCATAGGAACATTTTTTATTGACATTTGCTATCTTATTTAGCATAATATTCTGCTTGAAAGAGATTTAATTTTTCTCTCATTTTTAGTTCATGCTTCCTGGCCTTAGAGAATTATGCATGGAAAAACTCAAGGACCATCCCTCTGCTGTTATATTGATTAGCAAATAAATCATGAGTGGCTCTGAAAGACAATGGCAAAGGGAACCACTCCAGTAGGCACGACTGTGTGGTGAACCTTGCCTGGGAGACGGTGACATGGTATCATATCTCCACCAGTTCACAGGCAGTAGCTAAATTTTGGCCATATGGTGAAGTAGTTGGAAGGAACAGGATTGGAGGTTTGCTGAACAGGATGAAGTTTGGGGAAGGATTAGGGAAGATTTATGAGTGACTCTCTTGAAATGGGCCCAATATGTGGGAGTATTAAATATCCTATGTGAATTTTCACTAAATATTTAATAACCAGGTAAACCAGATGACATCTCGGCATACTTCCCCAGTGACCTCACTGTGTCAATGAACTCTTAAACAATGGTCCATCATATGAAGAACGTGCATACTTTAATGAAACATTGATTGTCTCTTTCCAAGACTAGCCTGGACTCCTACCATTATTGAATGCCTAACCTACCAGCTGTAGAGACAATGAGCTCTCTATATAGCATGATATAATGAGGGGAACAGCCTATCTCCGGGGTTGATTATGCTGGGTCCCCTCCATTATGGAGCTGACAGTGTTTTGTCCTCACTGGAATCAACACTCTTGAAATGGTTTGTTTTCCTGGGCCACAGTGCTGCCCCTGTTGACTTAGTGCCTTATGACATCATGTTTTCTTACACAATATTTCTTTTAGTCAAGAAACTCATTTCAAGCAAAATAATTAAGGCCAGTGCTCTTGGGGTTCACTGTTAGTCCACAAAACCTTTACCAGAAGTACCCAGCTATTGAATAGCAATGATGTAAGGAACCCATTTACTGTGTCAGATGGGAAATTACACCCTTTGACGCTGGGGTGGTCTCCTGTAGAATAAAGTATACTCTGTGAACTAGGACTAATATATGATGTGGTTTCTCCCCAAACAAGAGCACACTGGTCCAGAAAATGAGGAGTGAAGCAGGGGCGGTATTTATTATTATTATACTGAATGATCAATGCATAAACATTTCCATCCCTTGTTTTTACTTTAGACTTTGCTAGTTTGAAGGGCTCAGTATGCAACGGAGAAGTATGTCACCAGGGAGACAACTGACCTGGAAGTTGAGACTGTCATTGGCTATTTGGGTTCCTCCTGCCAATGTTCTAGGAAGAAAAAATTAAAAGGAAAAAGTATACTATGATGGCTCCTCTGGAGTGCCTCCTAGTATTGTGACATCCAGTGATAAAAGTTAATGGGAAACTACAGCAACCTGTATAGTTAGGACCATCAGGGGACTAAGACGAAGACCCATAGCCAGTTGAGATGCTGCCTGAATGCAAAGGGAATTTGGAGGAAGAAAGTTATTACCAAAGGTAATCTCAGAAGTAGTTGCAGAAATAAAAATTATTGTCCCTGATCATATTTTGTTCCTTGTTTTTCTATGTATACAATAATATATCAATGTTTTTCCTCTTGTTTCCCTAGTTTTTTTCAAAATTAAATATTCAATATCTACAAACAACATCCTGTCAACTTTATTTTTTTATTTTTTAAAATATATTTTATTGATATTTTTACAGAGAGGAAGGGAGAGAGATAGAGAGCTAGAAACGTCGATGAGAGAGAAACATCGACCAGCTGCCTCCTGCACAACCCCGACCAGGGATGTGCCCGCAACCAATGTATATGCCCTTGACCGGAATCGAACCTGGGACCTTTCAGTCCACAGACTGACGCTCTACTACTGAACCAAACCGGTTTCGGCTCATCCTGTCAACTTTAGTGGCTGACAATTTTAGTATTTATTAGGTTGTACTTACCTTAAATATATATATTTTTAAAATTTTAAATTAACATACAATAAAGAGGATTTTTGGTGTACAGTTCAATGGATTTTAATGCATTGACTTGTGTGACCCCATCACAATCAAGACACAATTTGATCACCCTCCAAAGTATCCCTTGAGTTATCCTTTGTAGTCACACTTCCCTACCAACACCCCTAACCCCTGAAAACCACTGATTTGATTTCTATCATGATAGTCTTGTCTCTTTAAGAATGCCATATAAATGGAATCATACAGTGTATACACGTTTGAGGCTTTCTTCCCTTCCTTAGTGTAATGCCTATGAGATTCACCCCAATTATCAGTGTGCCGATAGTTCATTCTTTTTTACTGAGGAACAGTAATCCCCTCGTTTTTACTATGTGGTAGATTGGTGGTAGTTCACTTTACAGTTTATCTGCTGGATTTTAAGATAACAAGATGGGATTGTCTCTGAGCTAGAAGAGAAATTAACATCACCCAGAGGGGAAAGTTTTAATGCAGGAATAAGAGTGCTTATATATATTGAGTAGCAAGAGAGTGGACTGCTGCAGAAATTGCAGTTTGACTCACTTATCCCCAATCGGCCCCATTTTTAGTATGCCTTTCTGAACCAAAATGGTGAGGTAGCTAAAACATTCCCAAGACTCCCTTGTGACCAGATTCCAATAATTTAATTAAAAATAAACAAGAAACAATAATAAAAAACAAAACTATTAAGTTAACTAGTAGCCCTGCGCCAGTAGCTCTGCGCCAGTAGCTCTCTGCGGGACCTGGCCACTCTGTGCCCACTTCCCAGAGGCCCTCCATGGCTGGGGTCATTTATACCATAATCTGCTTTCAGTTAAAGAAATAAAGCAAATCTATTTGTTTAACATCATTTGGATGTAGCTACAGCTTTTGTTGATTGTTAACATAGTTTGGTTTAATTTTTAGGTACACACTGAATTAAAGTGGGGGAAAAATCTATAACCATCTGGTAACTTGAAACTTTTTAACCCTTTATAGCTTATCCCTCCAATTCCATTAGGAATTAAAATTTTTATTATTAGAGTGCTTTTTGAAAAATTAGACTTTTAAGGGTAAAATTATCGATCAGGTAATCACAAACCATTTGAATAGCCTGCTGTTAGAATATAAAATAACAGGAACAAAGGATTCATAGAGTTTTCATTTTATTTTATTGATATCTTTTCCTTCCTTTGTAAGTCTTTTGCTGGTTATAATTACTCAAGATATTTGCTATAGGTAAGACTCCTATGAAAAAGTTATTTATTGACAGTGGCAAACTGTCCCCCTTGGGAAAACCTGTAATTGTTGTTTAACTAAGGTGTATTGATCTTTATTTTTACAAGAAAAGAAACTATTTTCAATCCACTTGCCATGCTGCTAGGTCTTATTTAGATGACAAAAGTAATAATATAACTTGACTCAAATCCTAGGTGGATTAAATAATAAAAATGTATGAAAAAGAAAAAATATAGATATTTGTATACTCTTACATAGGTATAGGTACCTGTGTTTCCCTGAAAATAAGACATCCTCCGAAAATAAGACCTAGCGCATAGAAAGATAAGACATCCCCTGAAAATAAGACCTAGCACAACTTTGAGAGAAAAAATTAATATAAGACACTGTCTTATTTTCGGGGAAATAGGGTACCTCTAAACATAAAACAAAGGAAGAAATCACAAAAGAAAATGTTGCTATATTTGAGTTCATAAAAATGTCAATCTTGCAGAAAAAAAAAGTCACCAGAAACAAAATTACTGGGTGTACTGGTTAATAATGGTGAATTTTGTAATTAAAAAATACACAAGATAATTTCAAGAGAAACATAAAAAGTGTTTTATTCCAAGTAATGTCCATTGCTAGCTACACATTTCCCCATCTTTTAGGTAATTTGTGGATACCATCCCAATAGAACTTTTCTTGTTTTGAGGCAAACCATTCAGAGACCCAGTTTTCCACTTCTTTGTATGTTTTGAAGTGCTGCTCAGAAAGGGCATGTGCCGTCGATCGGCACAAATGGTAATCTGAAGGAGCAATAGCTGGTGGATTAAAACTTTCCAGGCAAGATCTTTTAACTTGTCTTTAACTGGGTTTGAAGTGTGTGATGATGCGTTATCATGAGGCAAAACTACTTTGCCGTATCTTCTGGCCCATTCTGGTCACGATCAAAGCGTGGTTCAAATGGATTATTTGTTGTCGGTAGAGATTAGTATTAATGGTTTCACCTGGTTTTAGAAGCTCATAATACACCACACCTTCCTGATCCCACCAAACACAGAACATTGTCTTCTTTCTGAAGCACTTTGGCCTTGCAGTCGATGTTGATGGATCAACCCATGATTTTGTGCATTTGGGAGTCTCAAAATAAATCCACTTTTCATCACCAGTCACATTCGACACAAAAAAGACTTTCTTTTGTGCCACTGAAGCAACATTTTACTTATGCCTTTTCGGTTTTCCATTTGTCTTTCGTTCAGTTGATGTGGCACCCATTTTCCTTCCTTTAAAATCTTTCCCATTGCTTGTAAACAATCGGAAATTGTTGGCTGAGCTACATTTAATCTTTCTGCAAATTGTTTTTGAGTTTCACATACATCTTCATCCAATAATGCTTGTAATTGTTGGTCTTCAAACTTTTTTCGGTTGGCCTGGACGTTCTTTGTCTTTCACATAGAAATCTTAACTCTTAAAGCATTTAAACCAGCACTCACAAGTATGTTCACCGTAAGCTTCCTGAAGTATACAATTACTTTTTCTTCAAAATAAAGTAATGAATTAAAACTTCCTGCAAATCCTCTTTTTTTTGCATGAAATTTGACATATTTAAGGGTAAAAATATCTATGATGTTAACACCTTCAGCAAATTTGACATACGAAGTTTTGAAGCTTGTGAATACAACAAAATAGCATACATATCAAATTGCATATATATCAACATATCTGTAAAGCTATCTATTGAAAAAAAAATCTGCATTATTCATTGGTACACCTCGTAAAAGGAAGACTACAAACTGAGAAAAGTACTTGTGACATAAATGGTAAATAAAATTGTAATACAAAGACTTTATAAAGATTGCTTTACAAATCAATAAAAAAAGATGGAATTTCTTTAAAAAATATTTTATTGATTTTTTTACAGAGATGAAGAGAGAGGGATAGAGAGTTAGAAACATCAATGAGAGAGAACCATCGATCAGCTGCCTCCTGCACACCCCATACTGGGGATGTGCTTGAAACCAAGGTACATGCCCTTGACCGGAATTTAACCTGGGACCTTTCAGTCTGCAGGCCAACACTCTAACCACTGAGCCAAACCGGTTTTGGAAAAAAAAAAAAAAAAAAAAAAAAAAAAAAAAAGATGGAATTTCGATAGAAAAGTGGCCAAAGAGTACCAGTGGAAAATACACACACACTGACAAGAGATGGAAATATATAGACCGTAAACACATATGAAAAACGATTCAATATTACTAATTATAGAAATACATTAAAAATACTAATAAGATAACACTTTTTCTTCTACCAAAATGGCAAATATTTGAAGTATAATAGTACCATAAACTATTGGTAATAACTGATACACATTTTTTTTGGAGGGAATTTATGCAATATTCATTAAAGATTTTAAAAATAGATATACCACATGATGCAACAATTTCGATCCTAGAAAGACATCACAGAAAATTAAAAGAAGATGTGTGCATAGATTATATACTAAGGGCACTCATTCTAGCATTATTTATAACATTAAGTACTTGAGAAACAATGCCTTATATCAAACAGAATGTTATACAATTGTTAAAGCTGTGCTGTCAGAGGCTTTAATAAATTGAAAAAATATTCCTGTTGCTAAAGAAAAAAATAAGTGTGGGCTATAAATTGCAATTCTAGATTTTCAGTGCAAACACATTTAAAACACAGGAAGGAAACTCCTCAAGATGCTAATACCATTAGTAGTGTCACTTCTGGGAGGTGGGATCAAAAATTTTTATATGCTTCCTGATAGTCTTGAATATTTTCCAAAATATTTACAATAACAGTGTGTTAATGATCTATCAGAACACACACAAGAAAGTTAAACTCATGTTTCATGAGGAACTGCTAATTAAAAGGACATAGAAACAGTGCCACAGACAAATTCAACTTATTAAAAAAAAATACTCATTGCTTTGAGAGAGAAAGGGAGAGGGAAACATCAGTGATGAGAGAGAATCATTGATGGGTTAAGAACCCAACAGTGACCTCCTGGTTCCTAGGTCCACGCTCAAGCACGGAGCCACACCAGAGGAGCCAGAGCCAAGTCAATTACATGTGTCAGGTAGATTTCTGCAGATAATTATCACACTCTTTTGAACAACAGGATAACCAGCCATTCACAGAATTTTAGACTAACAAGGGTCCCTTGAGATCCACTACACTGACAGGGCATTATGTCCATTTTGTTTACGACTTGATGCCTACCACCCAGTCTAGTGTATTTTTGAATGAAAAAAAGAAAAAAAATGAAGGCAAACCACAGCCATCGTACAGACTGTGGGACTGCTTCCTCCAGAAACAAAAGGGCTTGCGTTACACTTGTGATCCCCATCCAGCAACTACTACCGCCCACCCTTGCGCGTCTCCTGCTTGCCAGCCAGGCAAACCCTCCAAGCACTGCATGCACATCCATGTGCACACAGCATGTGCAATCCTCTGTGTGTGCAATCCTCCCCACAACGTCACGGGCGAGGTATTGTTATGATTCTCACCGAGGAGGTGAGCAAACTGAGCCGCGAGCTGCATCTGGATCTCGTTCCCCTTTCTTCCTCGCTATGTCACCCCAACCCTAACTCGATCTGACGCTGGCTGGCTAGTTTGCATTTCCACGGAGGGGATGTGTGTGTGTGTGTTGGTGTGAGATGCGGGAAGCAGAGATTTTAAAGACCCGCCGCGGGAAAGCAAGGTCTGGATGTCCTGGGTTTCACTTGGGCGCCCCCGCCTTGGCGGGCCTCGGGGACAGGGGGACCAGAGACATTACTGGGGACCCCGGCCGGCAGCGCTCCTTCTCTCCAGCGCCCTGAGGCTACCGGTCTCTGTCTGAGGCTCCGATCTCCATCCCGAGGCTCCGATCTCCGTCCCGAGGCTCCGATCTCGGGGGCCTCGAAGCCCCGCAGCCCCGCCCGCGCACCTGCTCCCGGCGCCCGCGCCCCGCCCCGCGTCGCCCCCGCGCCCGCGGCCCCTCCCTCCGGCGTGACGGGGGACGGGCGCCCGCCGCCCGGACCGAGCGCAGCCGAGCTGTCAGCGGCGGACGCGCCGGGAGCGAGCGGAGCGCGCAGCCCAGGAGCCCGGGACCCGAGTGCCCCGCCCGGGGAGCCGCCTGCCCTCCGGCCCGCCGCCGCCGCCGCCGCCGCCGCCGGAGGAGATGCTGCCCCGCAGCCCGGGGCCGACGCGCGGGAGGGGCCGGGGGCGGCCGCCGGGGGCTCCTCGCCGCGGGCTCCCGCCGCCCTGGCGCCCCGCCTGGCTCTGCTGCTGGGTGCTCGCCGGCTGCCAGGCGGCCTGGGCCGGGGACCTGCCCCCCGCCGGCCGCCCGCCGCCGCCCTGCCAGGAGGTGAGCGCACCTGGTCCTCCACCTGGAGTTGGCGGGGGATGGAGAGGGGGGGGGGTAGCGGGAGCAGGGGTGCGGGGGTGCTGTTTACTGCGCTCCGCCGGCCTCTCTTCTCCCGGGGATGAAGTTGCCGCCTGGGCAGCGGCCGCGGGAGGCGGTGTGGCTCAGGTGTCTTTGGGGGGATGCTCTCCCGTGCGCGCCCCGGTGTTCCCCCGGCTCCGAAGGACTTCGCGGCGCCCTCTTTGGAGTGTCAGCGTGAGGACCCGGGGCCGAGGGAGAGGGGACCGGGGCAGCGCCGCTGGGAGTGTTTGGAGACCCGTCTCTTCACAGCTTTTCCAGGGAGCCAGACACTGCCAACCCAAGGAGGGTGTTCCGCGCCTCCCCTGCTACCCCCTCCCCTCCCCTCTCCTTCCCTTCTCTCCTAACCTCTCCCTGGTCTCTACAAGCCTTTTCTCCCCACTCCCCTGCACTCAGCTTTCCTTTAAGGCCCTGGGCTTTGCTAACCCAGTGTGTGGCATCCTCCTGGCAAAATATGGGTATGAATTAGGAATTAAAAAAAAAGAGTGTGTACTTAGGAGAGAGGCGGGCTGGTGATCTAGAAAATTAGGACAGACGGAAAGCATATGCCCCCTTCGGGGAGGTGTTCATCACTTGGCTGCATCATGGCCCCAGTGTATTTCATTGCTTGAGGTTATTGCTGAGATACAGCCAAGAAGAATAAATTATGGGTGATGAGAAAAATCCTTTGCTTTTAGGGTAACGGGACCAGGCGGGCCAAAAACTGACAGGGATAGTCATTGGTCCCTGTATTGGGTGTTTATCTCTCCCTTTCCTGTTGCAGAAAGTGCATCCTCTTAATGAAAATCAATAAGGGGAAGGAAGCAACATTTCTGACCTACTTTGAGTGATTATGTCGGGGAGGATATGAGGAGTGGATACTGTTTTTAGAAAGATTGCTAGGAACCGGGTGATGGGTTATCTTCATTTATGTAGCAAAAATAGCTTAGCTTAATAGTACCTCTGGGGAGACCCTGTTTCAGTAGACCCTGTTTCTTTGTGTACGATGCTGTCACTTTTGCGTTTTACCCAGGCTTAACTTAGAGAATATCTGCTTGCGAGACGTCATCCATCACCCCTAGATTTCATCTTCCTCTCTCCTACAACAAGTCCCAGGACAGATGGAAATGAAGAAGAGGTCAGAGGCATGTGTCCAAGCACACAGTCGTGTTGAAATTGGGGCAATCAGGGCAACATCTCAACAAACAGCTGTTTATGATTTCTGAGTTTATTAGTATGACTGGCTGTCTAATCTGTATTTTTTCAACTTTACCTATTACCTGGGAATAAGGAATAGAGAAGGCTGCTGCTTAGCAGCCTCAGATGGAACAGTTGCTCTAGGACAGAGCTGAAACCCTGCCTTCACCCCTCAGCCCCAGCATGCAGGATGCATCTCTTTTCTGTAGTACAAAGTTACTAAGCTTCTTGTAACATTAATTCTCAGCTACTTGAGATAGGTGGACTGTCAGCCAGCGGGGTGATGCTATTGGTCACCCCAATTAGGCTGATCCTATCACGTTAGGCACGTTTTACACATGCACAAGTAAAAAAAAAATGAAATATTGTCGTGAGAGCCAGGGCGATGACCAAAGTTCAGGAAGGTTGTGTCCAGTTAGAAATTGCATGTGACTCAATCCGTTGGGGTCTCAAGTTCGACGTTCCCTCTGAAAATGGGAATAAAAGAAATAGGAGGATCCCACTGAGCCTGCTGGTGCTGGCTGTGTTTTTATAAACGGGGATGCATAGACCCATTATATTCTTCCCGGTGACTGACGGACAGCTGTGAGACGATTGGCTGTTAGAGGTTCCTTTGGAAGCAGATGGCGCTGAATCTGCTTCTTAGCATTTAGTCTACCCAGCTGAACTAACTTACAGAATTGATCATTGTTTCTCTGACATTTTTTAAAAAGAGGGAAGTGGGAAGGGCAGGTGTGTTTCACACGCTGGGCTTGTGCTTATGGGTAGGGAGAAGTGGCTATGGACATGTGGGCCAGACTCCTGCGAACAGAGACAGTCAAAGTAACTATTTTGCGTCCACTCCTGCTTGTTGATCCCTTTCCGCTCTTTAGTAACAGAAAAGGAGGTGGATGCCACATGTAAGGGACAACACCATGTATGTGGTGTGGGGAAGGGTAGGTGAGAGCCATTAAAGTGAGGGTGCTTGAGGCCGGGAACTAAAACCAACATGAGGGCCTGTTGAAGTAGAATATGGAGAAATCTACAGGGAATTCTAAACCTCATTTCCTCCCGGCAGTTTAGTCTCCTCTCACTTACCAGCGCTTTTAGAAAAGTAGTCATGGTTAACTACGTTATGTAGACTCTCGTTTTACTTGCCTGCTTTTAGAGGCAAGCAATGAAAGGAAAAGGATGAGAAGCACAGAAAATTGGCCTGGGAGAAATCTAGTTATGATTGCCCGAGTTCAGGAAAAAATGCCTTTCAAAAAGATAACTGGTTTAGGGATAAAAATTTCACCTAGGTTTTAGTAGAGGATTGGACTCTGGGGTAAAACTCATAAAATACAGCTTCCTTTGTTAAAATCATTGGGTTAGGGAATTGAAAAGGGGAGAAAAATGATGATTTTGGAATGCTCAGTTGGATCAAATCAGCTGGGTGGAAGCACCGGCATACACAGGAAGGCTATCATTGGGGGGAGAAATTAAAGTCAAGTCAGCAGTGGAAGGACAGTAATAGGATGTGACTTCGGTAGGTCATGTTTAAAGCAAACAATAATACGAGGGCTGCCCGGCACGAAGTCCAGAATTAATATTTACAGGCTTTTTTATTTTCTGTTTTAAATGGGAGAACTTAGAAAGGATGGGTATCATCGTCAGGGTTTCTCATTATCTGTTTTCCACTTGTAAAATGATAGCAATAAAGACTGACCTGCTTGTCTTTATTTTGAGGATGGGATAACATTAATATAAGTTAAAGGAAAAAAATCGATGTAAATTCAGTAGTTGATTATTGCTAGATGAGTGGACTTAGATACCGACTGGTATTTCAGGAAGGGTCCAGTGAGACTTCCGAGGGTCAGAGGACAGGCTGGTCCAAGAATGGAATAGAATGGAATTTTTGACTCTGAGTAATAGAACTTAATAGGGCTGCCTGAGAAGCAAAAGATAAAGGCCAGCAGATGATTCAGAGTTGGAGGAAGGTGTTAGAAGATAAAAGTGCTTGAGAGTAGAAAGAACAGAACTAAGTGGACTATGCATGCACCATTTAAATTGGGAAAATGAAATCACAAAATAGCGTGACTCTTAGGTCATTGCTGTAAAGTACTATATAATGCGATTCTATTGCTCTCTGAATCTTGAGTGAGTGATGACTTTTTGGCAACAATGTTTATTCCATAAACATTTATTGAGCTTCAACTATGGACCAGGCAAAATGTCAGATGGCATGAAATTACAAATTAAAAATATAGAATTTAGGTGGGTAAGGAAGAGACAGATATATAAGCAAATAATTACAATATAATGAAGTGATTGGATGTCACGAGAGAAGAAATGGGCAGTCAAATATAGTGGGGAGGATCTGAAAAGACCCTTGAAAGATGAGTAGGAATTTGCCAAGCAGGCAAGGGTCAGATGTGAGTGTGGGATAGGGGAAGGCATTTCTGGTGTACCGCACATTGAAAAAAGGGCAGAAACACAAAACCACATTGTTATAACTGGTTATAACTGGAGTATAATGTGCCATGAGGAACTAATGAGAGATGAGCCTGAGAGGAAGGCAGAAGCCTGAATATAAGGGACCATATATTATTCTAAGAAACTGGTCTTCCTTTGCTAGGTGATATGGAGCAATGGAAGGATTTAAAAGTCAGAGGTAATAAAACATGCTTTAGTTTGGCAATAATATGGAGGCCACATTAGAGGTGTGGGAAATACAATTGTTAGGGACAATTGCAGTAGGTCAGCTAAAGGATGACAAATTCAATTGAGGAATAGCAATGAAGATGGAAAAGAGGGCAAGATGTTAGAATTGACAGTTAGTGGATGTGGAGCTTGAGAGTTGAAAGGTTCTGGCTTGATAAGAGAGAATGGTGCCTCTCACCTCCTGAGGAGGAATGTGAGGGAGAGGAGATAAGGAGCTTGGTTCTGGAGAGGGTGACTTGACTTTTAGACCTTTGACTTTGGTTCAGTAGGCAATCGGGTCTCTGGGTCCTATTGCTCAGGGGCATGGTCTGGGCTGTTGTGGAGAATGGGAAGCGCTTGAATGAAAGGCAGGGCTGAAATTGCTGGATTGGATGAGATCATTCAGGAAATGAGAACAAACAGGATGAAAGCTAGGACTTGGGTTTTATCAACTTTACAGGGTTGTGGGAGTAGAAATGGAGGCATCCACAAAGACATGAAAGTCATGGCTAGGATCAGAGAAATGGGACAGTACAAAGTTAGGAGGAAAGGGAGAAAAACCTTTGAAGAAGAAAGGGGTGGTTGTGGTTTCAGTTGCTCAAAGAAATTCAAATAAGATGGAGACTGAAAAGGGAAGATTGAACTCGATGGTTAGGTCGCCAGTGCCAGAGTGGTTCCTGTGGAGTGTTGGAGATGGGTGTGTTGACTAGGAGGTGAGGCAGTGGTGATAGACTAGCATTTCATTATGTGGCCTTCTTAGATTTGGTAAGAAATTGTGTCTTCCACGTCCACATAAATCAGAGAACCTGTACATGGCCTTACTGTCTGTTTCAGACTTGGATAGGAACAGCTGAGAAAGAGCGCTTCTGCAGGAAGTCTCTGAGGTCCTGGGCTGTGGGTAAGGGTGTCAGAGATTCCGAAGCCACACTGCTGCTAAAAGAGGTGGGACTCCTCCTCTGTTTTTCAAGGAGTTAGAATGAATTTTGCTTGCCATGCCTGTGGATGTGAATTTTTCCATTTCAGGTTCTTTTGCTCAGAATAATTTCTCATGTTTTAGGCAAATGTGAGCAAGTATTCACACCATCAAT